CGAATCTTCGCCATTAAAATGGCACCGTTATTTGCAAGCACATACATCTGCGAACAAAACATCCCAAGGTGAAGCGAACCAAGTCGTACTGCCATTCACGGATAACAGATGGGCATCTCCACGAACTTTTACGAAGGAGCGCTAGTCACCTTGAACCGAACGGGAACAATCTGGTATCTGAAACGCAGGCGCAATCCCCTAGTTTGGGATTAACGATTTGAGCCTGGAAGCAAAATATGTGAGTACAATCTTTACTCTAGTTGTACTTTGATTGGAACGAGACTGTATGAGTAGAATCTTTAACTTGGTGATTTTGTGCCCCTCAATGTCAAGTGGATGGTTGACGACCGCGTTCACTGCACACCAAAATGAGCACGTGCGTATTCCCGCGCCTAGAACATGGTTCTATTTTATGATGATTCGTGAAGGACACACGTGTATTCCGCACTTTTTGCTAACTACAATGCATGCCCCGGTGCCTGAGCAGATTATGACGGAAAGCCGGTGGTCGAGCTTAGTCGTCAAACGCTGGAATTCGCTTCCAGAATTTGAATTGTCAGGGACCTACGGCTAAGAGTTTCTGGCCTCTACTGGACGCACTTCTGTGACTAGGCGAAAAGTGGTCTTGATACTAACCAGGACCCACGTGCACACTACGATTGTTTTCCTTATCCTTCTTCACTCAATTCCACTATCATTGCTTTGAGTCACCCATTGTCATTACCTTTGAATAGTCTTCCTATTTCTTGTTCACTTAACGCAACCGGTAGAGTAGAGGTTTCTAGTACAGGATACGTGGGCTGTTATTAGTTGACCTTGATGTGGTTCGGATGTTTCTTGTTGGATTCACCAGGACCACATGTCATTTTGGCAATTCCTTACTCCATGACCTACTCATGAAGGACCACTCATGAGATGTGGCCAGCCTCACCCGAACTTAAACTTGAGATTGATTCAAACCCAGATATTGTCGGTCATTATTTCCGCATCGATAGCCAAATAGTGAACTTCTAACGTCTAGGGATATTATTTGGTCACGAAACCAATGATTTGTAGCAGCTCTCACCTCCTGGAAAGCACTACACTTCTCCTCTTTATATATATATATATATATATATATATATATATATATATATATATATATATATATATATACTGGTGCCAACCTATCATATAACTGTAAAACTATTGGAAATCACGGAAGCAATGTACTTAAAAATAAGAATCTTACGAAAGCTAACCGGATAAAGAAACAACGTTTGTCATTCACACATAGTTTTATTTTATCTGTTTCCTGAGTGCGATGCTGGGTGTTCAAATCGATGCATAAATTCACACAAATCTTTTGTTCAAGCAGCTTGTTCCCCATAGCCCTAACGGTCCCTAGCTAGTAGTGTTCTTAGTCCTTAGATCTAAAGTCCGAAATATTCATACTACCGAGGACCGCTAAACTGGAAGTCAATGCTTGGAAATTTAGACCCCATTTTGACAGGATGGCCACCGCGATTACGCGAGTAGGGCGCGTTATGGTAATCACTTGCTGGTCCTGCGCAGGATGTGACTAAGCCATCTCAATTAACGCAACTTTACCATCCAGTCGAGAAGGAGGTCCGCATTAGTTAAGATGCCATTTCCAACATTATCTATGCAGATGTGGTATTCCCGTCGCAAACGAGCTATCCGCTATAAACACTCGTTAACAAAGGCCGAAATCCGACACATATATTTCAAACGAACCCATCAAAACACAACTTCGTGTATAAACACTGTACAAATACAAAATTATAAACCATGTGTTCACTGCGTGTGAAAGGTCCTGACGGAGCCACAGATGCTTCAGTTTGAAGAAGGCTTATAGGCTGTATAGAGAACAATTTTCCTTCCAGTGGTGCAGTCAGGAGAAATGCTTTTCCCCTGGTATACGATGCCGTCCACTTGTTTGAGCTCCATAATGTCTCAAATGAGCACTGGATCAGGTTACCAAACCTGCAGTAGGAATTTACGTTTGGATGAGACCGTTAAAATGACTTGCATATTTTAATATTTATCACCAAGCAATACAAACTTATGTGCAAATTATAACTCAGTCGCACAGTTGTTTGTTAGAAACTCTACACCGTAATTCTGGACAATTTCCGGAGTATTCATTGCACATCTTCAGTCACAAATTGCACAGAAAGGAGACATTAGGCCGTTCTAATGTACATAGATATTGACGATGATAAACTGAACTTGACGTAAGCCCTCATTGTTTCCGAGTATTTGGAGTATTATGCTCGAAGGATGGCGGTGTAATGTTTGCATACCTTGTTCTATTACAGGCAACACTAGCATAGGCTAAACGTCCTAGGCAAATGCACCCTGAACGTCTAACTACAAAACTACTGTAGGTTGGCGGTAAAGGCGAGGTTATTCGAAGAGTTTGCGGGTCATCAACGTGTGGCTCACACACATCAGACTGTTATACACGGGTGTACTTTTCGATTCGGCATGATTTTTCGAGACAAATTATAAGTTAGCAATTTGGGGACAAAGAGCATTAGGCTGATTCCACCTTAGTTGGCGCATCGAGTTAAGGAAACCGTTTTTGAAGAACAAGATGATAGTCAACTCGCCCTAAGAAAATGGAACCTGTGCTTCACACCAAACATTGGAGAGCGGAGCTGTCAATTGGTTGACCGTTACATCGCCACGGTAAATGAACAACTCCGGAGTAACTCCGTTTGTGTCCACAACTTGAGTCGCTTCAAGTGTGGAAGTGCAAGGCGTACCTTAGATTTGTTGGGTGGTCTCAGTGAAACGTTCCAAAGCGCACAATCAGATATACTTGTCAGATAGGCTGACAGATGATGTCAATTGGACTAGGAGTGCTCAAACCAGCGGTCCATGCGTCTACACAAAATTGTTCCTGCTGATCAATCAATTTAGCAAATGACCTCACTGACACCAAGTTTTCTGTGGTCAACGATCCGAATGATCCGGAAATGCCTGCAAAATTACACAATGAGAGCCGACTTCTCCAGCTCTGAAGCGCGTTTATGCCATCGAGTTACGTGATCATTACGCACACTGCTTTAATTGCTGGCTGAAGTTGCGACGTATTTTGCCGCTGTTTAAACCACTTGCAATAGCTCGATGAGGCTCAAAAATCCCAGTAACGAGCACAAATATAGTTTCTAAGAGGATAACTAGTGAGTTCACACGTGATTGGCATGAGAAGATCATCGCTTTTCGAAATAAAACCTAATGATTTTCGACATCTTGTGGCCGAGTGCTGGCGAACGCATCTGTTAAGGAAAAATGACGGGAAAACCGAAGGTTGTCGAGCACGCGGTACTCTGAATTCGTTAGATCCTCGAAGAGTTTGCAGATATCCGTACATTATAGAATGTGATTTGCAGTGAGGTAGATAGGCCAAATCTGCTTGCAACTCCGTGCTATACCCCGGATTCTGAATCTGATTGCAGTGTGACGGAATTCGACCAAGCTGATAAGTTGCGAAACTTCTCCTCAATTGTCTGAGGATCGTGTTAGAATGACAGAGGCGATTGTTGTCATATAACACGGTTGCTATCTCTGTTATCAGAGTAACCGACAGCAGGGCGTACTCTTACAATGGAGAAGTTCGCCGGACAGCAAACGAGCAATGGATCCGCCAAAAAGAACAACGGCATATGATTTCTTGCGTTTACTCAAAACCACGTGGAATCCGCAGTACGAGTCGTCCTTAGCCGATACACAGCTAAACTCTGTTGAAGTGTGGGCATTTATCATCAGCACTTTTCATCGCTCTCAACGATGTCTGTTAATCATGTGTGAACACTGAAGCCGAGCCACAAGCAGTTCAATGTCAATCGGGAACCGGTCCAGCAGCGCAGCCTTAGCTTTGTGAATCTATGCGATGTAAACACCAGCGAAGCCGGCTACAGATGCTTCCGTGCTTGTTTTAGGGACTACCAGTGTTGGTCAACTTAAGCACGCGACTGAAGTCCTGTAATCGCGTCTCGGAGATGCAACAGACATTATTGGCGAGGGACTCCATCGTGAGTGCTAGGTCGACATGCTGTCAAGTTTGGGTGAAACTTCGTAAATTGTAGGCTGACAACTTGAATGAAAAGGAGGGCCACTGAGCTGATATCGAAATTATATTCGAAGAAACGCAAATTATTGTCGAAAGCAATATCGGTGTGTGATGCAGTTACATGAGCAGTGAAGTGGGAAGAATCAGAAGGGGGCGAGGTAGTAGTAGTTGCGGAATCCATGGTTTTGTCGTTGTAACTGAGACTACTGCATCTGCGTATCGCGCATCATTTCGTTGTCAAAGATTCATTTTCACCCGCAAAGTAAGCGCAGCACTATCTGTCTAGGTAACTTTGCCAACAGAAGTTAACACTGTGCACGAAATCATCAGGGTCATTTCTTAGTTGGATTCATTCAGCGACACAAATTGCTGATCACTTTTCTCATCAGCTTGAGTTCTAAACATTTTCGGGTCCCAAATTAACTTATGACTTTATAGGATAACCCCAAAAAATAGAATAAGATAGACCAAGATGAGGGTGCCAAGATTGCCTTGTGAAATCCTGACACAGCAAATAGGTTAAACCTATGAAGTGAATTATCACCGGAACAGTATCTGCTCTCGGGATATGGTTGCCAAGGGGTGTCTGCGTCAAACGAAGCTGAAACCAGTGGCGCAGTACAGTTTCAATATCGAGTAGCAAGCAAGCGTCTTTTAAATAAGTCATATTCTTCACACTAATACAAAATAAGAACTAAGTGCATTCAGGATAGTCACAAATCGGTCACAAATATAGTATTCACAACATATATGCAGCTTCACGACTTTCCTGTTCTGTATTTGATACTGGTGGGTAGCTTCAGTGATCCCATCCGACCTTTTCACCGCTCTGGTTATTTCTTATTGCCAATCATAAATTCACTTCCTAACTAACTGGATGTATTGTCAACTAAATTTACACAAGTTTGTGTTTTTGCAGTTTCACGGAGTTCACTACACAACTACGATCAATACCAAGATCGAAAATCCCGAAACACATTATCTGGAACTGAAGTATTGGGTGTGGGAAAGCGTGCCGAAGAGGATAGAACTTCAGAACGCGAAGTAAGAATTGACCACGTCGCAAGCCCGCGTGACCGTTATTTAGTGTCTCTACGAGAAAAAGTTAGCTTATATCCCTACCATGTACGCTGGCTTTTGTTGGCTACTTACACCTTGCCGTCTTCCATGTTCCACTGTTAATCAAGGGTTGGAAGCTATACAGTAAAATATCTAACAAATCACGCGAATATAACTTAATGAAACTAAAGCGTCGTGTGAATTACTAGAAGCAACTAATAATCTGCCCAGTTTAATTGGTTGTTGGACCAACAGATGGCCCCGGCTTACCGACCGCACCTCAAATCACATCTGTTAAACCACGACGCAAAAATAGTAAAACGTCCGTTATCTTGGAAAATATAAAGTTAAGTGTTAACCAGTACTGTTGACATCTTTCCACCAAGCTTTTGTATGCAAATTCCTGGGACACTTCGAGTTTTCTGTTGACAATTCAAACTTATAACCTGCGTTGTCAAGCGTCGTCGCAACCCAATCTAATTGCATACGGAACTGACACCAAATTGTTTTTCATTTTTAAATGTTGGGACTCATCTCCGCGACGTAACACATTTATAGGAAAAGCTTCCTAGACATCTTACATCGTACCAGTCTTTTCTTCGTTATACACAATCTACGCCCCATTGTTTTGTTCAAGATAGCAAGACAGTTAGCATCTGACCAAGATATCAGTTAATATAACGGCTGATACCAACTGGCTGCCTTGTATTTAATGAATAAATTTCCCTTCTTAATTTACTTCCGTGGAATACCGGCATGCCAACCGTTAGATACTGGTGGATAGATATCTTAACTGTTGTTTATATTTATTTCAAGTTGGTTGGTTGTTCTACAGTGGGATAACAAACGGGAAGCGATTTGTAAAACTGGGTTCTGAAGACAGTACGCATTAAAAAATAATGAACACCGCGATAACGTTTTGCAGCTTATCACGCTGCTCAGTTGTTGCCCATTCGTTGTAGACACCTACAAGGACTCGCCGCTACTTTAGTCGTAAAGTTTAATCCATAAAACTTTGCTAACACATTACGTGTAGCCTTACCCTCACCGGTCTCCTGGTTACAATCTCCAGAAAATGGTCCAAACATGTGGGTTGTTGAGTACTGGATAATTTTAATTGCACTTGCCCGACTCAGTTCGAACATAGAGATAGGCGTTGTTACACTCATCATCACAGCTGCTTGATGCCAGTTCCAATCACAAAAGTGGTTATGCTTCCAGTCCATGAATTTTCGTAAGCAACGTACTACCACTGTATCGGACGTAGCAATGTACAACATCATTTGTTTTCACCGCAGCTGAAGCTATCTCGCAGAATATACACGGTCTCGTAGAGATTAGCTTTCTCGGATTTGTTTAACCAGATGTTTTTTACGTTTCTGACACTTATATTTACAAGCAACTAACTGAAACTGCGGTGCTGCGGACCCGGGAGAATATCACCCAGCCACAGCAGTCTGGAGTTCGTGAACTTCGTGGTCCAGCTTTCGATTGCCAGCCACCAGAGATCTGGTTCAAAGTATGCTCCTAATTTTTATATCAAAATCAACTTATTGCGTTCTAAGTACCGCCTCCTAACGCAGGGACCGCAATGCATTTTGTTTTAGTAACCAATGTCATATGGAATACCTACAAATCGTTGGAAAGATGAAATGACTTAATCACGCAGACATTTTGTGGCCTTTACAATCTTGCTTGCTTAGAAATTTTACTATATGAAATATACTGATTTGTTTGTGCTTATTCAATCAAACACATTTGGTGGAGGGGTAAAACCGAAACTGACGTGCTGCGGTCGCCCGCTATTCTCAATACGACCAGGCACGCTGATAGTGAAGAGACAGCCCCCTCTAATATGTAAAGAAAAAAGAAAGAAATGAAAATCACTTAATAATACAAAAGCGTGTCAGCTGTACATCGTAACGGCGCCCCGCTGCCGCGCGACCACCACCAGTCGCGCGTGGGCTGAGTATTTGGCGAAGACGCCTGCCCCTACGCGGATTCGAACCGGGGACTTTGTGGTTGGGAGCAAGGCGTGCAGACCACTCGGCCACCGGCCGACATCATTTGGTTGCCGTTTAATAGATGTGGGCCTTTTTTGCTGAATGGTGATTTGAACTACGAAAAAGAGGACAATTTCACTAATTGATTGCTTTAATCTGTGCGGAAAATTTGCAACACGGTTGCTCCTATTGAGCAAATACAAGCAGTTGTATTGAGCATCAGCAGGTGACAACCTAGATTTTGAGCTGTGCCACGAAATCCCCGCTGATAAACCCCCTGAATTAAAGCTTATGGAGTAATTTGCGCTTTGGATATCAGACTACCTCACTGAAACAGTGTCAGTAAGTATACGTGCACTAAAGGAATTTACTGATGGAAACCTAACCACTATTGCATAAGATACGCGTGAACAATTGCATTTATCGATTTTAAAACCGGGGTGCCGCAGGAACTGGCGAAGCTCGCTATCCTTCGATCCGTTATGCCTTTGCGTCCTTGAAGCCCTATTAGGACACAAACCCACGAGTAATTATCTTTTACTAACGAGTAGTGGGGATTTTGGTATAATTCAGACACGATTCATCACAATCCACTCTCAGTTAGCACGTTTTGGCGCTTCTGAAATAGCACCAGACGACTCTGTTTCGAACTTTTAGGTCTCGGCAGTGGTACGCCCTCCTCGGACTCCTGCCGGCTTCTGACCCCAGGACTTGCGGCTGCCGGCAACGTGTGCCACTAAGCCATGGGTGATGGCCACAGACCTGCATGATTGACAGATGGCTGTGATATAGCTCGGCTCATCTTCCACTGCCATGCCAGTTACAAACTGTGCAGAGGACAGCAGCTGCGTACGACACGGTACTTTGAACCAGTTTCGTACACAGTCGCTATGCGGAAAGTCCTAAGTCATGGGGCCAACTGCTAACTAACTGATACAGGTAAACAGATAGGTATCCAATTTCCTATAATATGCTTTAGTTCAAACGATACGAAACAGCTTTTCTTGACGCAGTCGAAGCTTGAAGCGTTGCGCTTACATCCATGTTTACCATCAATGTTTAAGGACGTTGTTGGAACGGACACAGCGAACCAACTAAGGAATGTACTTAGTTTAGCATGAAGGTGTTCTTTTTCTTTCCCCACGCTGGTTAATGTAGCCACAGGTAACGTTTGATTCATCTAGCACCTATTGTCAATTGCTTTCAGGATTTTGAACCAAATACCACAATAAAAACCAAACTGAAACTGACGAATATTTCCCTCAAAATATGCACCTGTAGGTTCGTCGGCCTGTCACAGCAATTAATGGATTTTGTGACTGTTCAGTAAGTTCAATCTGATAATGTTCTTATCTGAAAAATATACACTCCATCTTACCAAAGTCCTAACTTTTTCTACACTATATATCATCATGATTAGTAATAGTTTAGCTCAAATTCAAGATAAGTAAGTTCACACAATCGATGTTACCTTCGCGTGCAAAAGAAAGATGCCAATTCATTTCATATACAGACGCATGCCAGCCCCCCGACTGCGCATGCAAGTCCAGCGACTCCTGCGACGTGCATTGTTTGCGCCCCGGGGGTGCGGATGGTAGAAGACGGGGGTGGTAAGTGAAGAAGAATGACAAATGAACAATGAATTATCACGAGTAAAATAGCATGTGCTTGACAAGTCCCGTAGGACGGTTGGAGTAAATATTAAAAATGAGTGGGTCAACGAATAAGGAAATCGTCATTTTAATCTTCTACCGATTTAAATGCACTACTGCGAAACGATACTTTGAAGTGGGTACACACAAATAATACAGAGAATTTTATAATTCAGTAAGTGCGGGAGAAATGAAAGAGGAAACAACAACGCTCACTCATGTGTTGATTCACTTGACCAATGCGTTATGGCTATCCAGTTTAGATACATCCACGCTACTTACAAGGACACTTCTACATGTATCCTCATTTCCACGTTGCGGATAAGGCCGTTAGGCGCATGGTTTGGTTTGCGTTATTAATTAATCCGAGTGAAACAGACTACTTCAAATAATACACGTTGGAAAGTGTGTCATGAAGGCGTTTTTAAATAGTGTTACTGTATGGGGCAATGATAAGGTGAGTCGAAAGGGCTTTCCAGACACGGGACACACGAAGGTTGAAAACGTTTAAACAGTCAACTGAACGGTAGTGCGTAAGCAGTTTGAGCTGATGGCCTCTCTGGTTGGTATTTTTGCTCAGCTGCAACAGGTTGCGACATGGATGAGTTGGGTTCGTCAGTATTTAGAAAACCAAGATTAGGTCTTCTCGCTGACATCAATATTCACCGCTGTACAATCTAAGGGACTGCAGTCTGCGCTGGTAGGAGTTATGAAACAATCCTCAAAGGAGTGGTTGTTCTAAGTTGTGGAGCTGTAAGTGCATTGATGTTGCGCATGCGCCATAAACGCCAGGCTTCGATGGCATGTTTCACATGGGGCCACACGTAGGCCTTCAGCATTTGCGGAAAGATGGATGGCTCAAAATTTCCGAAAGCCCTCCGTAAGAGACCAAGATGTTGACTGGCTCTTTTTGATGCCTTTCCAGCATGTCTCGAGCAGCCAAGATCGTCCCGCACGATCACCCCGAGGTCGCTTTCCTGGGAGGCACCTTGCAACTGCTGGTCCCCATGTCGACATGCATGGGTAAGGTGATGGCGTATGCTCACGACTTTGCCCTTCGGTACCTTGAACTAGAGCCGATTATCAGATGACAACGCATAAGCCCTGTCGAGATCGCTCTGCAATGCCATGTGATCATCCGCTGTCCTGATGTTATGCCAAATTTTGTCATCATCTGCGAATAGTAATAAATTCTACTGCAGTACGCTAGCAAGATCCTTAATGAAGACTAGGAATAAACGCGTCCCAAGTACCGATCCATTGGGTCACGCCACATTGGACCTCAATTGGGGCGGAAATGGAGCTACGGAGTCTCACATTCAGCTAACGTTTAGTGAGGAAGTTACCGAGCACTGAGTCACCGATTCCATAGCTCCGAAGGTTGCGCAGGAGAATACGGTGGTCCGAACGATCGAATGCTTTCCAGAAGTCCAGGTACACGATTTCGACTCTCACTCTGGCATCGGCTGATCTGCCCTGCTTTCTCGGGCTAGTAGCAGGTTTGTAGTGCAAGACCGATTTCGGAGGAATCCGAGCTCCTATGTCACTAGGGTGTGGTTGATCTCAAGGTATCCCATGAGCGCTTTTGCGATTATACCTTCCATTACTTTGGATAAAACTGGAAGGATATTGTTTGGATGATAGTTTGAGTGCACCGCATGATTACCACTTTTGTAGCTACGAGTGACCAGTCCATGTTTCCACATTGTCGGAACCTGCATTTCGTCGAGACAACGTTGAAAGAACCGAGCTAACGGTTCGGCAAGGTTCATGGTCTCTTCCTTCAATGCCTTCGGTTTGATGTTGTCCATGCCAGGTGTACAAGCGCAATGACAGTAGGCATTTTAGCACATTGGATGCTGTGTACGGTAGTGGTTTAACTATGGTGGCGATGTAAGCTGTGTCAAAAGCGGGTGCAATGATGATTCATTGTGGAAAGTGTGGAGGAAGGGTTTGCGAAGTGCGCTGGCCGCATCTTGCATGGTTTGCACAAGACCATCTGTTTCACGTAGAACAGGGATCCCGCGCTGCACTCTGCGGGGCTTTTTCACTTGGGAGTTGTGCTGAATTTCGCCGCTAACTTCTGTTGGCACTGGAGTTTGTCTTCGTGAATCAACTTGACCCAGTGATTTCGTTGAATTATGTAAACACCTCAGGTCAGGTCACTTGGCCAGACTTTGCAAGCTCGCCAGGCTAAACCCCTAAGGCATTTGTAGAGCGGCTCCTCAAGAACGAGTTCACTTGCTTCAGGAGAAAGGCCTTGATTTATGACGCAACTGCCACTTGCTCGGTGAATTGGGTGACAAACATCATCCAAGCGATTTCCGGCGGCTGGTCGGCCAGGAAAGACCGGCCAGTTTCTTGGACGAGGTTAGACAGGATATCGTAATGTGTAACGACATAGGTTTACACGTTGTTCTCACTGATGTACTCTAAGTAACAGATGTAACGAAAGCGCAACATTGCATGACCGCTATGACCAAGTGGTGCATCTATGGTCACGGTGTCGACCATTAGTTCTTCGTTGGGGAGCACAAGGTCTAAAATAGTGGGTGTGTCCCCCTTTCGGAATCGCGTGGGAGAGGTGATATGGTTGTACAGCGGTATAATCAGCAACCACCCCTTGCAAGACAGCCTTGAATTGTTCGCTGTGCGACGCTGAAACTTCGACTGCATACAGGTTAAAATCCCCTACCAGAAGGACATAACTGTGTGGTCGTGCCAGGACTCGCTTCATCGCAAAGATAGGCACCGATCCATTTTCAAGGTGGACATTGGAGGGCGGTAAACTAGTGCTAATAAACACACATCATCACATTTTAGGTGCATACGACAGTAAATAGGATCGACAGCTTTCGTTTCTGGGTCGTCAATGATATAAACATGCAAGTCGGATCGATAATACAGGAGGCCTTCACGTCTTCTGCTAGGTCGATCGTTTCTTATGGAAGTCATGCTGGGTAGAGCAATTTCAGCATCGGTGATCTCTGTGTTCAGCCATGTTTCGGTGACTATAACTAGGTTCCAAGGCTTGGAGACCTGACGAATACGAAGTTCGCTTAGCTTGATGAGAAGGCCTTGTGCATTGGTATACAAGCAGGTGAGGGCATCGGTTGTTAGGAGCATGTTTGTGAATGCTGATTTTCGGTGAGGGTCTATGCTGACCCTTGGACGCGTATGTTGTCGGCCCTTTACCAAGCTTGGATGTGACAGGTGCTTCAGATGAAGAATGTGTGGCGAACGCATCGTTATGGGCAGCCGCCAGTGTCGGGGTGGCTAACCCTGGCTCGTTACCCTTCTTTTCGGCCGAGCTACACTGTTCTAGATTGGAGCTTGATGTTAAGCATCGAGTTCGAGAGACGGCTGCTGCTTGTTCTACAATGTTTCTCAGCCTATCGCACTATTGTGCCAGCACAGCTACACTTCTGACGAGTGGAAGTGACGTACACTCCGTGCAGAAACAGAGTGAATCAATCGTACTATTAAGTATTTTTATCTGGCTGAGACTAAGGCGAGCGCATCGATGGTGACAATATTTCCGATAATTGCGGCATTCTATCCCAAATCGCACAAATTTAACACAGCGGTCCGCGCCACAAATAATGTTTATCTCGGAAGCTTTAGGCTTGGCTTTCCGTGGGCAATCGGTACGTGCTTTTGTGACTGTCAGTTCCGCGGATGTCGTTCGTTGCATCATCAACCCTAGTGGGCTGAATCCAAACGCTGTTGGTCAAGCTGGTGGTCTGGCTTACACTGGTTAGCTTGCTGTAGAACGAATCCAAGCTGGTGGACACAGACGGCAGTTGGGCCAATTAGTGGGCTCTCCAAAATCCTAGAGAAGAATCATCAAACTTGCACAGATGGAAAAATACACCAAAAGCTAAGTATTGGTGCACAATGCACACAGATAACACTTATTACACAGTGATCCAGAAGCAAAAGTATAATCCAGCACGGTAACAATGATAGCCCTTACTTCGAAGTTGACCTCGGTTGGAGTTTCTCGGCTCCTTGGTTGGGGCCCGAAGGACGATGAACCCGTTTGGCTGGGTACACATATTGTCATGGCTAGGTTCCGACCTCAATGGCGTTTGCGTTTTGTCTTCGTCCTTCCCCCTCCCATCACGATCTCATTTATTATGTGTAATACTTGTCTTTTTTGCGGCACAATGGCCGGCTGTTAGCTCACCGGAACGACGTCCATCCGTTACTGATGACGCAGGCAGTGTGCCTCGGTTGCACTATTTGCTTTACTTTTTATTGCAACACAAAAGTTTAGAAGTATTTCCACCTCTAGCTGGCGTGTATAATGATAAATGATGACTCTTCATATACAGTTTTCACTGTTGGTTGGTTATTATATGCGAAATCACGGATGTAAATTGTTAAAAGTATTTTTCATTTATTTACTCCAGATTTCCACCGTCCGGTGCGCTATCGCCCGGAATGAGCTGCATCGCAGTGGTGACTTTTGTGCCCAAGATTCATCAGGACTTAAAAGGACAAATGAATTTTCTCTGTCCAACCGGAGCGTTCTCGGTGCCATTTAAAGCAACCACGAAGAAGTGTGAGGTAACGTCTTATGTTTTGTGCAGGCTAATTTACCTGTTTACTTCCACCAGCTGACTGTGGTCTAATTAAAATTCTGTTTATAGTTTGTTGTATTCGTGCGAGAACAAAGTATATTTTAAAGGTAAACAAATTTCACCTGTTCTCAAAATTTTTCCTTTAATTTTGTGTTTTAGTAGTTCACATGAGACTTTCCATGTTTGTCGTTTACAGAAATATCGCGGTGTTCCCAGATCTGTGCCGGTATGATTAGCTGGAATAAATCCGTAGAAATCAACCGCAAAACATTCATGTTTCTAAACTGCTCCTTCAGAATATCCATAGTGCTTGTACTGTTCCTTTGCTTTACTGATTGAAACTCGTCCACCAGCACTACAACGGCAGTTACAACTATCGGTGCCACTCTGTAATGCAGGCCGCGTATTGAATAGGGTTGCATCTTAGACCTAAACGAAATTGGGCATATTTACGCTATGAAGATAGGTGTACTCAGGCCCTACTAAGTCAGCATACAGGTTTAACAGGACTTAGTTCGCATATGAGTTCTGTCTGCAACCGTTTCCATCTGTTATACATGCCTGTCAGTAAGGTATCCCGAAATCGTTTGCAGGATGTCACGAAAACCAGCATGTAATCGGCTGGAAAGTGGGTGGCGTATCCTTTAACACATTATTTGACTCGCTAAGTCCTGTCAAATATCAAAGGCGCTGTTACTATGTTGACATCGCACGCTGTTAGAATTAAGCTTATAACGATAGGAAATATATAACATTCGTCTAAACTATACACTCATGCCAAGGTTCGATACATTTAACATTCTACACATTAGACAGTGTATAAGTACCTAAGCTACTTTGTCCCACTGCAATTCAATTAGATGGTATTATGCTAGTGAAAAAAAAACAAAAACAAAACCAAAGACTATATTATACTGCTTTAATTGGAGGGGTGATTTTGAAACAACTTTATGTGAGTGGATTGTGATTTACACTGAAGTGTACCTTGGTCGTTTCGATGGGACTTCGGGTCTTACCTACCTGAAATCACTGCAATAGACGAGCTAAAAGCTACACAAACCCGCAGCCTCTATAATATTAGTATGCATCGACGATGAAATACTGGTTAGAAACGAAGGCTAAGTGGGATGGGATGAAGAACGAAACTCCAAACACAAACGGCACTCAGGTTGGTTCTTAGTCATTTCAACTGGTGCATCCATCCAAACATGGTTATCTTCAATCGGACCCAAACAAATAACATGTGAATCTCAACCAAAGCCGATCTGGGTGTGGTGGCCTTTCTTCCTCTTCAACAAGTACTAGGGTCAGCCTCACTCCCCATCATTTATCCACCTCCCGGTCGCGTAAAACACATGTCACAGGAGTCGGTGTCATGAGATGCGTAAAACACGGTTCAGCCACCCGGGCCTGGTGCGTGAAATAACGGTCATAAATGACACGTGTACTTTCCCTGCGCCATAAACAAGGCGGTGAACACAAATATCGCTGGTTTTTCGGTAATAACTGCTTTCCGTACAACCTCACGCACGAATACTTTATTAGCAAACTTTCCCTTAAATTATTGATGAGTAGTAAGGGGATTATTGGGTTTTTGTGAAGATTCCTCGCAGCTGGACTCAGCCAGACAGCCACCGCACATTCACAAAACCTCTAAACAGCCGCTTCGTCCTGTTGGGACTCGTCAGTAGCGCGCATCAGACGAATGCTGCCGGATTCAAACCCATGACCCCACTCTTACGAGCCAACGACTTATGCCACTGAACCATGACTGCTGCGATATAGCACTGCCAGTTACGCAAAACGCCCAACATCTGGTAACATAACGTGTGCATGTAACTGCAACTGACGAACCACGGCCACCATACCCATGGTGCTACGGCCCGAACGGAATCCACATTGCTGTTCCATCATATTTATTGCAACGACCCGAGTGACGATGCGATTGAGCAAAATTCGCTCGATTACCTTCCCCGCACAACGCAGCAAGTTGATACCACGATAAGCAGTGCAAAATTGCTTACTCTCTGCATGTTTATAGTAGTAGCACAACGGTATCTTTCAGCATGGTCGCCACTTCCTTTTCAATCCACACACGTTGCACCAAGTGGTGTAGCGCTTTTACCAAGACAAGTCCGTTGTGTTTCAATACTTCAGGCGGGAACCCGTCGGCACAGACACACTTACTGTTTTGCAGTTGAGCAAGTGCTCTCTGCGTCTCATCTTTTGTTGTTGCAGTCCGTGCAACGTGGCCAAGTCAATCTCCGAACGGCTGTTCAAGAGATCATGAAAGTGCTTTCGCTAAATTTGTACTGCGTCTACAGTCTGTAAAGGCAGAGCTTGAAATAGGATCGAACGGCGTCCTTAGTGACTGAAACATGGTTCCATACATCGCTTTCAGTGAGTCAAAGAATTCCTTATGTTGGCGGTATTCGCCGTACCATCCCATCTGATTTGCCCTCTCTATCCACCATGCATTCCTGATGCCACCGAGTTCTCCAGTCGATCGCCGACAAATGTTGCGAAAACGACTCTCGCTGTCTATATCGGCATGGTCTTCCGCATGCGCAGCAAACGCTAAATTCTTCGCTTACACCAACGCGCCAATGGTCGCACTGGTGTTATCTAACCAATCGGGCAGCTTACATTTTGTGCTCCCGGTCGTTCCATCCTCTTCTCAATAGTATCTAGTGAAAGGACACTAAATTTGCGCCGGTTCAAGTCAGGTGAGCAATAAATAGGTTTACGAAAATATATGTACAATTTAGTCCACACTAACATGTTATCAGTGCAACACTCAGCTCCACGCAGTACACGTGCCATGCACCCTTCACGCATGTCACGCTGGTCTACGATGATAGTGGGGTGAGCGTGACCACTACGTGGGGTGTCCTAGTTGCACCCAGTGCAAAGTGGGTATTCGACATCGTCAGGCCGCTAGTGGCGCATAGTGAAAGCAGCTGAGCATAGTCCTCATTGGCTGTGCCAATACCAAACACACCGATTACCTCTGTCCTCATCACGGCATCACGTCCAACGCGCGCCTTGAAATCACTCAGTAGGAATAGCCGTTCGCTCCTCAGCATAGCCCATATAACAGGACAACTTAGTGCAAAACCGACCCTTGGTGTGACCATACGTGGTAAACATGTCTCTTCCAAGTCGCCTTCGAAGTGTAATCAATCGTGGTCTGATAACCGTCAACTCGACCACCAGGTGGAAATTTATGCGGTCGGACAGTACAAATAATGCCCCATGTCCGAGTGGTGCCGTGGTGGATTTTCCCACCCAGTAAGAGGTGTATCAAGTATCAGCAGTAGCAAGCTTCCATTGGTCAGCGAGCCGAGTACCTCTGATTGCAGCAATACCGACCCGTAGCACCCCAGTTTCAGTATGAATGTTGCCATGTGTCGCTCGGGTCGCTCAATCGTTTTCCGGTCAGGTAGTGCACGCACGATCCATCACGCTATGTCTGCTTTTCGCAGAGGCCTACTCTCTCTCTCTCTCTATATATATATATATATATATATATATATATATATATATATATATATATAGTAGACATCCGGTTTCGGATTGCCCTGTCACAGTGGCCAGCCACGGGACGTCTGCGCCTACAGAGGGACCATTAATGGCTTGCGCTATAACACCCACAACTCCATCCACACTCCCCATATCCAGTGTAAAACCGAAAGAATAAGCCCGGGAGGCATGTGGATGGGAGCCACGTTTCATCAACGAAGCCGCCCCACACTCCTTCACAGGCAAACACAAGCACGCTGTTTTTGGGGAATCAGGCGGTGGTTGGACCGTAGTCCGCTCCACACTGAGTGCATGGAACCACTCTTCGAGCCTAGGGCGACCACAAAGAAAGCGCACCCGGTCCGCTCCAGTAACAACCAACTGTCTCCTGGAGAGAGTATGGACGAGGCAGTAGGTAATAGACAAATAAGCATCTTGACAACACGCACATCAAGCTCAGCCACACCGGGGATGCCAAACAACAGCCAATAATTCGAAATATCAATATCAAATAAAAGATATCGATTAAAGTAAATGTACATGAGACGATATAAATACTCGCTTAATGAGTCTATGGAGGAAATTGGTTGGAAGAGAATTCGCGATAAGTACAAAATATCCGTTATTTAAATAGTACCATGTGATATCGTTACGCAATTTTACCACGATTACTATGAGCGACGTTTGCAGGTTAGGAGAAGATTATCCGGTAGGCAGAACAAACTAAATAAAGTGAAAGGAATTTTACCCACATTAAAAGGTCTAGTTTATATGCATGTTGGTTTAGCCCAACTGCGGTGAAGAAGCATCATTAATGCAACATCAGCCTTAGCATGGGGACAATCTATATATATGGTTGACGGCATCCGGTTTCAGATTTGCCTGTCAGTGTGGCCAGCCACGCTGTAGTTGGGAATCAATCGCACACAAGGCGGTGTCTTGACCGTAGTCCGCTCCACACTGCGTGCATGGAACTACTCTTCGAGCTTAGCACGACCACATGGACCGTGCACCCCGTCCCCTGCAGCAACGACCAACTGTCTGCAGGAATCAGTATGGGCGAGGTAGTGGGTAGTAGACAGGCAGGCACCTTGTCAACATGCATATCAAAAGCAACCACAAGAGGGATAACAAGCAACAGTCAAACGACGAGATGAATATATTATATCGGATAATGCATACAAATGCGGCGGCAGAAATCTTCACTAAATGGGCGTATAAAACAAAATGTTTATGAGAGAATCCGCGATATGTTCAACGGATCATAAACTATATTTTAAGAAAATGCCACGATCGTGAAAATGTTAGCTTCAGCGACGTGTGCAAGTTTATAGAATATAGTGCAAGTAGACCTTAATATGAGGAAGAAAAGCATTAAGAGAAAATTGCAGAACCACCACCGGAAATAAATGGACTTAGCATGCAAGCACGCGGTTAGTAAATGGAATGCAGCGTATCTACAAA